TGTGGCCTTATTTCAAAGTAAATATTGTAACTATTCGCAATCTTTCAAAGACATACAATATATTATTACAAAAAGAATCTGTAAAAACGTTAGGGATAAATCTGTACCTTTAAAACATCTGGAAAATGCCGAGAAAAGTTCCTCAACCGGAGCACATTTCTCATCGCCATTTTGAAATCCTTCCCCTGGAAGCCCACAATGCAAAGCGGTTGGTCTAAAGCGCATGTCACAACTTTGTAACCGCGCCAATTTTCAAAAATCCAAGATGGCGGACGAAGAGTCAAAATGAAATAGAGAGAAATTAAAGAAAATTTCCTAGAAAACTGCGCAGTTTTGTATCAAAGGATCAATTCAGAGTCAAAATTTAGTAAGGTAAGGACATTTTCATGTCGTTTAAATTTAACGCTAGATGAAACTCAGGCTACGAGACATAGGAAAGCTAATTTTATAAATTTTATTTATCCACGGAACATCGTCTTATTTAATTAAAGTCGCTCAAGGAGCGCATGTGGTTACTCCTAATACGTTTAGATTTGCCACATAATTGGATGATTTTGTGTTTAAAAAAGAGAAATTCATATGCTAATGAGGTAAAATTTACATAAGCAAAGATTTGTGTGTTTTTATTCACGCAATGAAAATTATTATTTATTTGCTTGTTTTTTGTAWAGAACACTAGACGATCTCAGATCGCATGTGTGGGCTTCCTGTGGTAATCTGAATAATGGTATACACTCTTGGTGATAAGATTATTGAACAAGTTCATTTATCAAACTCATTTATAATTCATGAGCTATTAATCCAATCAGGATCAAGCATTAAGTCACATGATTGAATCTATATCAGCCGATATAGAACTGATTAATAAAACATTAGTACTGTTTGAAAACAAGAGGTCTTACAACCTTGGCGATCGAACCCTATCTCATGTGGAGGGGTCCTTTGGCTCAATGTACAAATAGCCMATTTTCGATATTCTGGTTGACCAGGCATACAAAAGAAATGAAGGCAAGGCTCCTGGGAACCTACTGTTTCCCATTCTGTCTTCAATGTGTTGTTAGTCAGCCAGAATATCGAAAGTGGGCTATCATCTATGAAGTGATCAATAACAGAGAAAAGTTTGAAACAAGGTTTTATTCACAATCAATTGAAAAGTGAAATRCTTACTTTTCAAAAAAATGATATGATAATATTTCAAGATAACAGCAACAAGAACATTCTAAACTCAAATGAATAAGTAAAGCATTAAAGCTGTGAAACTTATACACGTATGCAAGAAAAATTTTAAATGTTAGATTTAATAATCTACATCAACATTTTGATAATGAAATAATATCTTTCATTTTTTGATAATATCACAAGATAACAGCAACAAGAACATTCTAAACTCAAATGATAAGTAAAGCATTAAAGCTGTGAAACTTGTAGTCGTATGTAACAAAAATATTAAGTGCTACATTTAATAATCTACATCAACATTTTGATAATGAAATCAAAGATACTATAAAATAGTATCAACTTTATAAGGTGGAAATGTCTGTAACTAGCTGAGTGTCCATTTCATATGAAAATGTTAGAGGTTGTGTTGTGCTCAACTGCATTTTCAGTTCACCTTCTGTGATGGATCTGAGATTCATTAATGAATCAGTTTCAGTTCCAAGCATCATGAGTTGTTGGTTATACATAACCAAGCGTCGTTTAACTGTTGAGTCATTTGAACTTGCAACTATAACCCTTACCATCCATTGTCTGTCACAAAAGTCAAGATTCTGCCATGTTTTACATTCTTCACATGTTCCAAATAGTGTGGAGTTGTCTGGACATGGGACAACTTTCTTGTTACAGGAAACACATGCTATTTTGTGTGTGATTTGATTTATGCCAATTATTTTACCAGTGATTGTATCATTTTGTACTACTGCATCTTCAACCTCAGCCAAATCTTGCTCAAAGGGTTCTGTAAGGCTGAACCTAAACTCTGCATCTTTGGCTGTATTCAAATAGCGACCATATCGGTTGGACTTCAGCTTGACATTCTCAAAGAGGTAAGTTTTGTTGGCTTCCAAGGAGTCTACATAGTGGTCCCAGAGTACCAATTTTATGGAAGTTGCTGTGTCTCTTAAGGTGACATCTTGCTTTCTTAATGTCCCTTGATGTTGTGTATTTATGACTTTGGGACCAGAAATACTAAGCACTTGTGCTTTTACTTTTACCAACTGTTCAGAGGCTACGTCTACAAGCTTGGCAATTGAAACAACATCATTAGGCATCACAGGGTCTATGTAGTCAAATCCTACATCTTGTACAGGGCTAAATTTTGATTTGTCATCAAGGATGATTTCCCCTGTGGAGCTTTTTCTGTAAGGGTGAAGATTGATGGCTGATTTTGTTTTCTTTAAGGTGTCAAGTTCATCGTGTTTTCGTGCGTCAAAACACACTACACGTTCAATCTCTTTTTCTTTCTGTATCCAACAATTGAAGAACTTCCTTTTCGAGCTTGAGTTTTTAACAGGCGATAGTGAGTGGATGTAACATTTGATAGGATTTGTTTCTTTGTCCTCCATGACTCCTGAAATGTTAAAAAACAAATTTTGTGTTAGGTTTAAAATATATGTCGTTTCTCAGCAACTTTCAATGCATTATTTAAATATTGGGGAATTTGTTAAGTAAATACTTAAAACGGGGTTTACATGTGATTGTAGAAAATTCTAAATAAATGTAGTCGAACGTGCGATCATTAGAGCAAGTTATTAAGCTTATGTCCGCGGAAAAAGGTTTGCAAGAAACTATTAGCTTATGGACGAATTGCGACAGCGTCATGTACCGCTGAAAGGAATTCAAAGCTTAGTCAGTTTGTATTTGTTCTGTTTTTGTCGTNCTCCTGCTTATTGCCTTGCTTTTGCATTGATCTAAGCACCTACATTATAGTGACAAGTTAAAAACTGATAAATAGATCTGAAATCTGAATCATTACTCTCCACTAGGAAAAGCATTCCCATCAATTGGTTATCCAACAAAATGTCATCTATTGGACTCCAGACATACACACAGAACTTCACTGTTCAGATTCCTCTACCCTATTCAAAAGGACCATCAGCCATAATGGGAACCAATGTGTATGGTGTTCTWAGAGCACCAAGGATTGCGGGCACTGAGGCCATAGTGTTCTCACTGCCTTATAAGAAAGGAAAGAACCTGGGAGGCTTGGCATTGATGTTATCTCTAGCTGAACACTTTAGAAGTATGTAACTATATATATGATGTAGATGAAAGATTTGGAATGATTCATGAAGTGTAAACATTAATTACAAACCATAAAACAAAATCTGGCCATTTTTCAATAATCATTATTAAATAATTAATAATTATCAAAAGTTATTTTACAACAGAATCTATGCCCCTAACTGAAATTCACCAGTATCTGTTAGGACCACAACCTTTTATTATTATAATTCTCACATAAAAAGTATACATCCTAAAACGTAGTTATGGAAAGGTCAGATAAACTCTTGTTAATGTGACTGCTACTGCCATGTTTTGTTATCAAGCTTGTTATCAGAACAAATTTACTTTTAGGCAGATTTACACTATGCAAATGTTGTGTATGACTTGTAGTATATGATTCAAAAGAGCTCCTAAGTTGTGCTGTCTAAATGCTCTGATGACTTGTCTATAATTGAGACACATGACTTTCGACTTGTGGTATGGTTTTGTGCCAAGGATCATACAACTAGTCGTATACAACAATGTGGCATGCAAATTTTATGGTATATTAGGATGTAAATTGTATTTCACTATCAGGGGCATGGGTTAACTTAAAACAAAAACAACAACAACAACAACAAAACAGTTTGAACCTGGCTTAACGTTAATGCTACCATAATCAGGATTTGAACGAACCAGTACAGAATTTATGCTGTTCACATTTCAAACGATTTGAGTGAGATTAATGGCTTCACTTTCTTTATTGATAGGTCAGAGTTATTGGTCCAAAGACATCATATTCCTAGTAACAGATCAAGGAATTCTAGGGATGCATGCATGGCTTGAAGCRTACCATGATGTACCCAATCCTTGTGAGTAGGAATGTTAAATCAAGTTCTCTATTGAACTTGATATAATAGTTACATCTATTTTATAAAGCTTAAAGGGGCATAGTCCACCAGCATCCCTTCCGAGCTTTTGCTCATGTTTGAAAATGAAAATACATTCACAGTATAAGCAAAGACTCTTTATTATCCCTTTATACTATATGAATGGAGATACTGTAAGATTCGACCTTTAAACCAATAGATGGAAACGGATTGACAATGGATATTTGAAGACGCCTCATTTTCCATATATCTAAAAAATCTAAAACACGAATGCATTGAATTCTGGTGGACCCAGGAGTGACTGATCTCTTAGATCTAGTGTCCATATAATCCGAAAAATCGTCCCAACCCTCCAAAAAGCGTTTTTGTATTTTTGTAAATTTATGAAAGTAGAACAAAAACTGATTTTTGGTGATTTGGAAGTTTATACATATCATGTGCACTATGCATTAGTACCCATGTTCAAATATTGAACGGCAAAGAAATGATTGATTGTACTTCTGCCAACAGATATTAAGTCTTTACCGTTAGAGGGTCATTCAGGGTCCATYCAGGCAGCCATTAATGTCGAGATGAGTGCAAGCCATGTGGACAGTTTTGATATTTTAGTAGAAGGAATCAATGGACAGCTGCCTAATTTGGATCTCATCAACATGGTGAAYAGACTTTGCWTGAAAGAAGGGATTCCCTCAAAACTCCTTACCCAGGTGAGGCACGTTTGCAACATTAAAGGCAGCAGAGCTCGGGGGGAGGAGGGGTGGGGGGAGAGGCAGGCGAGGCACGTTTGCCAAATTAATTAGGCAGGGGGCGGTCACTCSTATTTAGGGTGGGGTTGATCGTCGGAAAGTTTTAAAAATACCCCTAAAAGATACCAGGCTCTTATCAAAAAGGGCGTGGCAACACAATATTTTCACCCCAAAACTAAAAATATTTGTTTAAACGCGATTAAACGAATGGAAACGCGAAAAATACCTTCTAATAATTAAATAGATGTCAAGTTTACTGTAAATTTATATGTGAAAATCGACTTTTGGGGGAATTCTACGATGACTGCTTAAGGAGGGTAGGTTTACATGTAAATAGTGGGCCTTTCCACAGCAGTTCGACTGTCTCTGCTGGTCTAAATTATGATATTTTTCTTTTTTGACTTTTTTACAATTATCAGGCTCATGTTAAGTATTGATCATAATCACGATGTATTGTTTTTATGTTCGCTTTTTGTTTTCCTTTTTTCTCAAAAATGTATGAGCAGACCTTTTCTAGCTTTTCTTCTGAGGAATGAACTATGTAGCTTTGCTATATTTCGCAAAAATGAGGAAAAACAGAAAGGTAATCAGCAAAAAGCTTGTACTTTTACCRCTAAGTCCTCTCCAGCATTCAATGCTGTTTTGTGGTTTGAACATTTTTTTTACACTGAACAAAACGAACGAAACACTTAACGGATTGTTGTCGAAAACGGCCTCTGAGGAAGTTGCTGGATTTTCTTTGTAAATTTTGCCAGTTGACTTTGTTGGGCTGCCACCGCCACGGCTATGGCGCTAGACAAAATATGATAGGTGTCAGTGGAAGSTAAAAGGAAACAATTGTTGAAAAGGTCGACGTTTGGAATCGTTTGATGAACTCCAAACGGATCTTGAATGTCAGTAGTTCGACGCCATTAGACATTATTTTTTTAATAAACTGTCTAAGTTAAAGGAAACAGTTGTCCTAAAAGGGCGATTTTCTGATGTGATTAACGGAAGCGTATTTTTCTGCAATTTCTTAAAGGGTTTAGTACGTGTCTGCAGTAACGGTGTGCCCGTAATATCGAGGTACGGCTTCCGAAAATTAGACTGAAATTAGACCGTCTCCTGTGTTCTTGTCAGTAATTTCTTTGGAACATGGGTAGAAGTGTCCGGACTGACCGTGATACATGGGTGTCTTCATGGCAAGAAATGACTGTAGTGAGTGACTGCTGTAAAGGGATTTTTTTCAGAGTAATTTCTTTGGATCATGGATACAAGTGTCCGTAGTAACGGACTGCTCGTAATATCTGGGTGTCTGCAAGGCGAGAAATTWCTCTTCTAGAGAGTGAATGTTGTAAAGGGCTTTCTTCTTGGTAATTTGTTTTATGGATACCTGGATAAGTGTCCGTAGTAACGGCCTGCCCGTAATATCTCGGTGTCCTCAAATTGGATGCTTAATCGATGGATCGATTGATTCTTATCGATCTGATGCATGCATAACGAGTGAATATYTTTGGTCGCCACAGATGATCTATAGATTCATATCATTGCTGAAAAAATGCTGTTGATAGTATTTGGAAAGATGAAAACAGATGTAGCATAGACTAGGTAAAGCCAGTTTACAAAGTGAAAATAGCTTGTCTAATGACCCCTATAATTCTGTCTTTCAACATCAACATTTTTTGTGCATTCGCGTATGCACAACAAGCTCGTCACTCGGCCTCAGCGTCTCGGCGTTCGCGGTTATTATACAATAGTTCTATCAATATCTATAATGACATTTCATTGTCCTCTCAATATCTTTTTAACTGCCTTTCGTAGTTCTTTCATCCGCCAGACACCCAAATAAGGATTTAGAGTAGAGTTCARAAGTGCGCAAGTAACAGTAGCACGCCATATGGAACTGATATAGTGCTTTCGTATTAAACCATACACCAGGTAGACAGCCATTGGAATGATTGACAKGGCGTAAAATCCATGTAAATAGAACATCGTAGTGAGCGATCTCCCGTGTTGAGTTACAGGTGCGTTTATCGCGTTTCTCTGGTTTTCGATTTCTCGGCGATGCCTGCGGACGACGTGAAAGATGTTGTAATAGCAAATCGCCACTATTATGATGCACAGAGATGTAAATGYAGCAACGATAARTTGGAAATTCTTCCAGCTTACAAAAGCGAATAATGTGAGAAGCAGTGTGTTCAAAGACCAAGAAAAAATCGTCAGAATGATTGCCCTTTTAGTTGTAACGATCTCCTGGTACCTCATATGCAATAATATGGCGGAACAACGGTCAACTGCGATGGCGGCCATTGTTATGATAGAAGATCCAAGGAAATACATCGCAAAAGCTTGATATGCTCTCTTTGTGCTGATGTTGTCCTGGTTCAGGAGAAACGCGATGAACAACGGCTGWACAAGCAGCCCTACACCGAAGTCTGAAACTGCAAGGCTTGAAATTAAAACGAAAGATGGTGTGTGGAGTCTTGGAGTTCTCCAAATCGATACAAATATGGGGATGTTCGTTAAGATTTCAGATAAAGCAGACACGCCATTAATAACTATGAAACACAGTGTTACCGTATCCATTGTCAGCACGTTGGAATAGTTAATTCTACTCGAGAATTAACTGCTTTACGAAAGTCAAACATCTTGCCCAGCAGGCTATTGCCTTTCATGTTAATTAAACTGCCTGGCTAATCAATAAACTTCCGACTCCGTCTGCGCTGTTCSKTCATTATGAACAATAACACTGTTTAATTCAAAATGATAATTCAAAAGTCTATCAGGAAATTACAATGGAGATTGCTCTACTTAATTAGAACGGTTCTGATACCATCTACTTGTAACACTATTAGTTTATTCAAGTGTATTTATTACTTTTTTGTCATATAGTGAATTTTGGATTGCGTATCATTTCGAATTCTATACGSGATGTGCGCAAATGAAGTCGCAATAATTAATTTTAACTGGATGATTGTTTTTGAGTGATGAAAGTTTTTTTTTGTCGTCACTGAATAAACGTATTTATTAGGCGTTGTTGTTGTTCTGTTATTCCCAAAACTCCAATAAGGACTTTGGCTTTTTGACTTTGGCGAAATGGCTTTGGTTGCGATCTAATTGTATAATCTGTCACTTGGCCCTTTTATTACGCCTCGACTTGTATTTCAGGAATCATTTGTTTATAGTGTTTCATAACCAAAGTTGCATTTTATTATATTGTTCAGTTCAAGCTCGAAACTGAAGAGACAAACAAAACGAAACTTGTTTTGAAAAAGCCAATAGAGCATACAATTAGACCGTGGTGGAAGTWAAATTGAATAAGTTAAATAAATTGTTGTCAATATCATTGAAATCAGTTCTGAGTTAACAAGATATTGACAAATTCTATGCGCAAATATATTTCGATTTAATTTCGATTATTTACACTTTTTAAATGTTTCAACGAGATTTGTAAATCTTCAGTTAAGGCGAAAGATACKTTSAAGTCAACRAAAAAGAAAAATATGCAGATTTGAWAAGGAAGCCAAAAAAGGCTTTCAGGCTGGTTGTCGGTAAATTTTATATGAAAAAGGTTAGCAAAAAATATAGAGAACAAAGAGATAGATATTAAATTCTTTGTCTCTGCTTTAGATTATATAATGAACAGGTTCGTGCTRCTCCTTGAAATCCTTGAAAAGTCATGGAATTGAAAACTCGTTTTCAAGGGCGMTTGTAAAGTCCTTGAAAATGGAAAAAATCGCTAAAAATTCGGGAAAACTCATTGAATCTGATGAAATTTTATGTTGCTTTTTGCCGTTTGAATTGAAATGTGGCTATTTTTGAAAATCGATACTGCCGAAACATTCCCAAACATCAAAAAATATCTTCAAAAATAGTCCTTGAAAATCGCATTTTTGTGCTTTAAAAATGCACTTGAAAAGTCCTGGAATTTTGTAGTGAAAATGTTACACGAACCCTGAATGAATGTATTTAGAGGTTTCGGTGTTTTATCGTAGGCATTTATCTGTGCTAAAGAGATATAAATGATATAGAGATATTGCGAAGAAAGCTGTCGCCGTACTGATAGGGCTGCATAATTTCATCTTTTAAGATAGAGTAATAAATAATTAATAATTACTGATTAATAATTTTTGATTAATAATAATTACTGATTCGATTTAAAAATCGAATCAGTAATTGTCGTACTTCTGATTGCATAAGATGAGTGATGTTTATTACTCCAAATCCAATACCGACATTTGGGTTCGGTAGTGCAGTTTCCCATTGTTAACAACTGTCAGTTGCCATCCTTTGTGATAACGTTTTTTAATACATTTGATAACAGGTATAATGGGGATTTCGTTATTAGGGTAAAAAAGGCGCTTTCAAAAAAAACATTTTCTCAAAGGCCCTTTTGATGTTTTTTTTTTAAAAACACATGTATCTAGACTGGTCTCACCCATATCTAGACAATCGATTATAAAATTGCGACCTTTATTCTAAAAGGAGCTCGTTAAAGCCGCCCGTTGAGTTTCGCACAAAGCTCCTGTGGTTGGTGCTGAGTTTTTGAACCATCTATATATCCAAACTGCCCAACACTATATCTAGACTATCGATAATAAGATTGCGGCCTAATTATAAAAAAGCGATCGTTATAGCCTCCCGTTGAGTTTCTCACAAAACTCCTGTGGTTGGTTCACATGATCTTATAATTTTTCTGTAGTTTAGATTCGGATATAACTTTGTCAAAAGATGCCCGTCAATGTTTCCTTTGAAAAGTGTTTTCGATATTGTGTTGCGTTTATATCTCGTATGGTCGTGTAACTTATCGATTATCGCAAAAAGGGGGCCATTTTCCAATTCAACACAGGAAGACCATCCTTGGCTGTGAAAGATGAGTACAAGCTAATGACRTCATGTGAGTTTCGACGAGATGCACGCTGGAACGGAAGAAATGTGCAACGACGCCATTTTGTACAACAAAGTATTCTTGTACATTTTGTGCAGCCCTCCGAAGTCGTTTTAGAATTTYATTTGCAAAATGTAAGAAGTAGGTACCGTTTATACAAAACCCGAGCTTTTCGGGCGATTTTTCAGGCTTTAAAAAAAGAGCCCTTGCTACAACTCCCATCATGCCTTGTTGTGCGAAATGGCGTCGCTGTACTATTAAGGTTTTCAGCTGTCAGTTTTGTTTCAAGTTGTGAACAACAAGCGTTACTTATTTTCACGACATAGGATAGATGTGGAGGTCTTTGAGATCTGTTTGTTTCACTTTAACTAGGAATGAAAAAATCTGTCAATAAAGCGTCCATTAAGAGCTAAATTATATTTTGCTATAGGCACTTGAACACTTTTTTAAAAGTCACTAGGAAACATCAGAAAACATAATGCCTTAAATAGAAGTGCCGAGAACAACCTCGATGTCTCACTGTGCCAATATAACCTGGTTTTCTTCAGACAAAGTACGTAGGAAATAGTCCAATACAGAACTTGAAGATCAGTGTAGGACTTCTTGTAAAAGCATAGCCTGCGTAGCCAGGCGTTCCTAGCAGCAAAAAAATGGCATGCTTTGCTTAGCCTTTTCTATAAGAAAGTCTCACAATATAGCTCCCGTAAAGATTCCATAAAGAATTTAGCGAGKTTCAGTAGATTATGTATTTTCTAGAGAACGATCTCATCTACTGTATTCTCATTTTCTCCTTTGTAAAGTTGATTCCCATTCAGTAGACAAGACCAAGAAGAGCATATGTGCATTGGAATTTTCAATCCGTGTCCCTTGCTTTATTKGGGCATCACATTWCCTTACAAATGCTTGGAACAACTTTTCCTGATGATGTTGTCTTGGACAAGTGTTACCATCTCAAGATAATTTTAGGCTACGTTCACACGGGGCCGTTTCCCTTCGGAGCCGTTCTAGTCTAGGCGCGCGTTCACACTGGAACTCTGGAACTGGCCTCATCTGAGTCTGGCAAAATGTTCAGGTTTGGGGCTGGCTAAAAAGCCGATCCACTTTGAGGACAGGTCACTTCGAAGCACGAACGGATCCGTGAGAACACTATTTCAATCCCTATACCGAAATGTGGACGGTTCTGTGTGAACAGTGGGAACTGTCCTAAAACAGAGGTGTCCTCAAACTTGACCGGCCTCGTGTGAACGTAGTCTTATTGTCGACGTAGCTCCTTCCAGATTTTTAATGCTGCGCTTCGCAGTTCTTTCATTCGCCAAAAATACAAGTACGGGTTRACTGTCGAATTTAAAAGGGTAAATGTCGCTGCGATGTAAAAATACTTGTTTGTATGCAKWTTATCATGTATACGATAAATCAAGTGAACTAACAATGACACGAATGAAAGAGCATAAAATCCATGTAAATAAAACATGTTTTTCAGAGATTTTCCGTGTTTTACCGCAGGTGCATGAATYGYTTGTCTTTGGTCCATGATTTGTCGACGATGTCTGAGGACAATACGGAAGATTTTGTAATAACAAACAGCTACTATTATRAMACACACTAAAATCATGAAAGCTGAAAAAGAAATAAAAATCAACCCATCSACKTGATCAACGAGACCGARCACTACCAGTAMTAGTGTGTTCAGTGCCCAACTGAAGAGTGTTAGATTAACGGCTCTTTTTGTTGTAACTATCGCTTGGTATCTCATGTGAAGCATTACAGCGAGACATCGATCAACAGCGATCGCTACCATGCAGATTGTCGAAGCACCGACAAAATACAWGGAACAAATTTGGAAAGCTTTCCACAAACTCGCAAATTTATAGCCACCAACTATGATTGTTATAATAATTGGCTGTACAATTAATCCAACACCAAAATCGGAGACGGCAAGATTGAAAATCAGGAGGAACGACGGCGTGTGAAGTCTTGGCGTCCTCCAAACTAATGTAAACACAGCAAGATTGGTCAGTAGGGCTGATAAGGAAGATACAACATTAACAGCGATGGAAATCAAACTTATAATGTCCATTTTAGCTTCGTCTTGGAWTTCCTTAAAGAAATTAGCATCTTCCTGAGAAAGGTATTATTACTTAACTGGTAGCTTTCTCAGAATGCTCTCGAAAGAAAATAAAAKGACCACTGAGGGTAACACRTGACAATATRACTTTTGTTTTCGATGGCTCGAGAGCACCCTTTAAAAGCTGAAGGGCCACTTATTATGAAATGGCAAAGTAACGCTRGGTTGGTTTTCTTCTATTTAGCTGAATGTAAAAGAGTACATATATTCTAATAACCTACTTAAAACTAAATGACTTGTAAGAAACGTTTTAATGGATTATGACACGGAAGTATTCTCTGGTTGACAAGGTTTTGAAAAGTGCTTATTCCAAAACAGGCTTGTCTTCCCGTCCGTTTTACCATTGTGTAGCACAAGTGGGAATATGTTTGCCTCTCTCCGATCAATCGACAGTACATAGAATAATGAAAAAGTCAGTTTAATACGTCAGGTAGACACGCGATGTCGCTCCGAACATCTTGCTCTCTGTTTAACAACATCTCCTTAAAAATTTCTGCGAACAACTATTTCAAATGATGCGGTACAACTTTCCACTTCGACTGAACCTTGTTGTAGAGAGACACTTTACCATCTACGTCGTTCCTCCATTCCTTACATGTAACGATCGCTCTTCGCAGTTCTTTTCTAAAAATGCAAGAGTTGGTTAACTGGCGAGTTCCGTTGGGAAAATGATGATTTGAAAAAGAAAAAAGGTTTTATCGCAAAACAAAGTAGAGGCAGACTCCCAAGGCAACTCAAACTCAGTAGCCTTTCTTATGTAAAACGTCAAAGGACCACAAGTGCAGGAAATTACATCGTAACTATAGTACTTGTAGGTACTGTATGAAATGGAGAGTTTTCGATTGTCATATTTTAATGTAGCTCTTGACGTTGAAGTACCCAACAGATAACATGAATAGATTGTGACATCAACGATACCCTGTAACGGTTCTTGGAAAATACAATTCCAAGGRGTTTCGTTTATTCGTAATGGCCTCTACTCGAGTTCATGTGATATGATCACTCACGAATCAGAATATTCGGAGAGTACTTTCATTGAAATCTACTTCCAATGGGTTCCAAACGTTTTTTTTAATTTCGTAGGGTTTCATCACGAAATTTTCATCTGTCAGATTTTTCATGATTACTAGTTAAACTTCATGTACCGGCTGTCGAATCACCTTTATCCATTTAGTGAACTTAGAAAGATAGTTTTATTATGTACGCAGTTCTTTCCACATTTTAACGACTGCACTTCGCAGTTCTTTCATTMGCCAAAAATACAAGTACGGGTTGACTGTCGAGTTCAATAGTGCCATTGTTACTGCAACATCAAAAAAATAAAAATCATACCGATTCTGGATTAAACTTACAATGCTRACAACTACTAAAGGTACAAATGAAAGAGCATAAAATCCATGTAAATAAAACATGTTTTTCAGAGATTTTCCGTGTTTTACCGCAGGTGCATGAATCGCTTGTCTTTGGTCCATGATTTGTCGACGATGTCTGCGGACAATACGGAAGATTTTGTAATAACAAACAGCTACTGTAATTACACATAAAMATACAAACAAAGCTGAAGCGTAGTAATAAATCATCCAATTAATTAATGCGAAGAAAGCAAGAAAAAGTGTGTTCAGTACCCAATAGAAAAGTGTTACTTTAACGGCTCTTCTTGTTGTAACTATTCCTTCGTATCTCAAGTGAAGTTTTATRGCGAGAAAACGATCAASMGCGATAGCAGCCATGAAGATYGTTGAAGCTCCGCCAAAGTACATGCAACAAACTTGGAATGTTTTCGCCAACGCGACATCTCTGTCACAAACTATAATTGCCATGACAGTTGGTTGTACAATCAAGCCCACACCAAAGTCTGAAACAGCAARGTTGAAAATCAAGGCAAAGGACGGTGTGTGAAGTCTCGGCGTCCTCCAGATTGATAGGAAGACGGCTAAATTGGTTAATATGGCCGAAAGGGAAGATATTCCATTGAGGGCAATAAAACTCAGCCTAAAGTTCTCTATTAGTGAGATTTTACATGCCATTTCTATGCTTGAAGTAGCATTGGAAAAGCTACATTGCCGGCTTTGGAATCTGCGAACAATCCTACCCAAAGCTCAGTAAAATCTTTCTAGTGTCTGTCTTCTATCCATTGAAAAAATAATGTTCTAAAAAGAGAAAATGATTCGTATTTTGAAATAGGAAAGTTACTCAGAAGTTTTTTTCTAGTGTAAAGCTACAAGAAAAGATGTCGAGGAGGTCTTATTTGAAACTATCTGACGAAGTGGATAGTTTCATATAAAACATGCATATTGACATAGTGTAGCACTTGTAACACCGAGATAATCATGCCTTTGTATATTCTCGTTTTCCGCTCTTGACACTACACATGATGGCAATACTAGAGCATTTCTATTAGAAAGATTTTCACGAGTTCCGAGGTTTTGAGTGGGTCAATGCGTAGATGGAGATCACCGTTACTGAAAAGTACTTATCCTAGTTCTGCAGCTCTTGAATCTRAAGGACCCTGGAGAAAATGCTAGTTTAGGAGATACACGAGAAAATGTCAGTATTACAATGGACTTCCAAATTTGCTTTTCCCCCCGAGTATTCTACGTGGTTGGGTCACCTTCTCATCAACAAACAACTCTTGTAACTTGAACAAACTTGATTGAATTCCACGGTGAAATTTTACACGTGTTAGCTCTAAAAAAACTCGTGTGATTGCTCACGTGCCATATTTTTCAAATATGGTGACTTCTATAACGTAAAATAACCTAATGTCGATCACATAAAGTTTAATTAATGCTAACGCGGCGCCATKAAATTTAGAAACCCTACTGGAAAAGTCAAAGTTGCTCTGTAGTGTTTGTTTCGACTATCAATGGTGAGATTAATGTTCTAGTGCAGCACTTAAAGCTCAAGTAGGCAAACTGCGGGAAACACTAGTTGAGTGGATAATGCAACAAACGGCTTCATGCGTTGAGCTCTTGAAACTGATGAAATAAGCCGCGTTGTAACATGCAATATAGTTGTGCGAAAAACAATTGTATAACTTTAAATTTGAAAAGAATTTAAGGGATAAAATATGATTTAAGCGGTTTGAAGTGTGTTATCAAGAAAATCCTTCTCAAACCCTCGCGACTTTGCTTGATAAAGTTTATGCGCCTTAATTCTTTAAAAGCTAAAGTATACATGAACCCTTTTAGAAAATCAAAAGTGTTTTCATGGACGCCATCTGGGAATATGGTTATTCCTTGCTTTGCCTACATGAAAGCATTTTTAAGCGACTCCTTCAAAGTTCTTATATCTAATGAAACCTTGTCACTTCATTAGCATTTTCAATTTCCAATGCCTTTAACTCAGAAAATAAAATTCAAACAACCCTTTTTCTTCAAAACAATGATTAGCATCATATTTGCCTTTTGTTAAAAATGATTTTCTAAAAGGGTTCATGTGCACTTTAAGGAATTGTTCATTACTTATTTGCCTCTTGCTTATGSTACAACAGTTGTTATTTAAATTGGTCCGCCATTTTAAGAATCGACTTGAACTCACAATGAAAACAAACAAACAATAGACTACATTCA